AGAGCTGTGACCTGTAAAAGTTTTGAATTTTTTTAGTCTGTGACCTATAAAAAATTACCTGTGACCTTAAAATTCTTGATTTGTGACCAACGAAGTTAACTGTGACCTATAGATTTTTTCATCTGTGACCTCGAAATAATCCGAGACCAATTAATTTGATAAGCTGTGACCTGAAATTTTTTCATCTGTGACCTCAAAATAATCCGAGGCCAATTCATTTGATAAGCTGTGACCTGAAATTTTTTCATCTGTGACCTCAAAATAATCTGAGGCCAATTAATTTGATAAGCTGTGACCTGAAATTAATTTTTAACTAATTAATAAGATACACGCTATCAAATTACACAATTAAATATTTAATTAATTAATAAAAAGAAGAAACCTGATTTTTACAATTTTAAAGTTTAACACCTGATTTTTTAAAATGTCAAACTAAACACTTGGACCATAAATTTTTCCCTAGACAATTTCAAGAAACAAAGATTGGACCTTAGCCCATTATCATCATCGTCTCAAAAAGTGTGTTGGCAATATCACAGCCAACACAGTCCCATAAATAATATAATATTGAGATGACAACCACGATGATATGTACCTACTGGGTAAAAAGTTAAAACGAATATATAGCATATGATTGAATTCTAAAGTAGGAAATTTAGTTAGAAGATGAGCCAATTTCATGTCTAACTGTTCCGAGCTTTCAGTGAGTTGAAGGAGTCTTTCATGCTTTAGCTATTATTTTGTTAATCATTTATCTCTTTTTTTTTTTTTTGGCTACTTTAACTAAGTTAAGGAATTTGTTTAATTTATCATTAATTTTCTATTTTTCTAAGTATTAGGCTACTTGTACGACCTTGAATAAAGGGAAAATGAAGAAATATACTACTCTTTTGAGCTATCTAGGAGGTATTGATCTCTCGTATAAACTAACAAATTAAATCCTTTCTACTAATATTTCTTTGCCACTAACTTTATTGAACGTCACTAATAATCTTTCCAAAATTGATATATGGGAATATGTAAAGTAATCTCATAATAGTATTCCTTAGATTTACTTGCACATACGTGCAACATCTTCTTGTATAAATATTTCACTATCCATGTTTGGTTTGATAAAAATCAGATTTTTAGTAGATTTTAGGTCCTGTTTGATTGGGGGAAATTTTTCATGGAAAATGGAAAGTCAAATCCATTTCCATCTTTTTGCACTAAATTTTCAATGGAATTGATTTCCCATATTTTCTTGATTTTTAAGGAAAAGTTTTTCACATGGGTTTGGTTGGAAAAACTTTTCTTGGCATCTTTTTTATTTTAATTTTAATTTTTTTTTTTGCATTGGAAACAAATTCTATCCCCAATTGTAACAATTTTATTCATTTAATAGATAATTTTCATGGAAAACAAAGACAGACGAACACTAAAAGATCCAAAATTTCAATATTTTTGAGGTGAAAAATTATACCAATGAATCACAATTAATTGACAATTTTTATTAAAACAAGTTTTAGGCAATTCAATTATCTGGAATTCATTTTCTTTCCACCCAAATTCCACTCTTACAATCAAACGGGCCCTATAAAAAATTGTGGTGAAACTTCCTCGCTTGACTTTTCAGAGAGCCCGTCAGCCATATATCGACGTCACTTTTACCATCTACCCTCCATTAATGTCAAGTCAATGTCCATATACAAACTTGTAAATCCGCTAGTAGTCACACATCCTTTAACATGACAACTATCTACTTGCCATGATGAGGACATGAATATCTTACTCGAGTGATTTTTTCATCGTCTCCTAAAGAGAGAGATGCACTATCCAGGCCCGGTTCTGGGCCGAGGCGGATGAGGCCACCGCCTCGGGCCCAAAACTGGAGGGGGCCTCATTTTTTGGCCCCCCGCCCCCCC